ATCCTTGAAGGGAATGAGAGCATTCACAATTATCTCAGGCTGGAAAAAAAATTATAAAGGACAGCGAACTTCCTCTGGTCACCCTCTGCTTGTGATATAGATCTTCCTCTAAAACAGCCACCACTGCAGAGAGGTAGAGGTGGGAAATCGAAGGAGAACCAGTGTTTGGGCACGTCCTGTATTGGTAGGAGGTCAGGAAGGACTGGATAACAGCAGAGGAGCAGCAGGTCGAGGTGGGTTTGCTCAAAGCACTATCTAAATGTGTTTTGGAGGCCTCTGTTATCATTGTACTCAAGAAGCTTCTCAACTTTTCACTCCCAGTACCGCTACAAAAGTAGCAACACAACATTATCTTGTCCTTACAAATAGAAAACAATGGCACAGTTGATTCCAAGGATATATGAGAAGCCCGTGACAAAGTCAGTTGTCATGACCCTATGACCCCTGGCCTAGCCAGGCCCATAGAGCTGAAGAAGGGTCATCACAACCTTTTGTACGTACATTGCCTTCATCATCCACAACCTGGATCTGTCCAGAGTCACACAGTTTAACCACCGCTCCAATGGGGACATCGAATTCCCGTCCAGTTTTGAGGTCCATCCACACATAATCCCCCTGGAACCAAAGAGAGGACAGTTATACCCAGAGCTGCAGAAGGTTCGGCATCCCCTGGGATGCAAGATGCTGATGGTTTGGACCCAAATCATTGGTACAAGTCAAATTACTTCTTTGTAAACCACAAACCACCCCTTTTTCACAGATGCTCAGGAACCATCCTGCAAGGTAATAGCAGTAGGGCATGCTCCACACAGCATACACCCACCGCACTATCTCTCTGTTTCATGAGCTCGTGAGTGGCCGTCGGTCACAGACTGCATCCAGCAAGCAGGTTACAGAGCAGTGATACAGGCAGAAAAACCCACCCAGGTAGAGGTTTCCCTCTGTGCAATGTACAAGCCTAGAAAGTCACGCTTAGGTGATGGTTTGGAGCTCTGGAAAGCCTTGTCTGGAGGCTTGTGGCACATTTTTTCCTTGCAGATAACCACTATCAAATATACATTCCCCTACCGTGGAGACTGGTGAAAAGGGGATGACTAAAGAAGGGTTAAGAATATACCAGAGGGGTAGACATATATAATTCTTCAGGACTCCTCCCAGCAACAGTGATTTGTAGGTGGGCTCTTCGCATTGAATACTTCTCAGTGGATTTTATCTACTGTAAGCATGTCCAGTTGCTTCCTGAGGCTGTGCAAAGTTTTAGTATCCATAATCTCAGAGGAAGAGTTTAGCTACAAACAGCATGAAAAGCTGTGTCTTTTTGCATGTTTCAAATGTGTCACCTCTTTCATTTGAGACCTCTTTGTTTTCGTTTTGGAAGACACAGCAAGCAGTTGACCCCTATCCACTCACTCCATGTCATTGGTGATCCTACAGACCTCTTGTCAGTCCTGCTGGGCAGGGACTATCTGCTCATCAGCTCTGTGGATATTAAATTACTCGAACGCAAAAAGGCTGTTTTCCTCAATACAAAAGCAAACCCCAAAATAACCCAAAACTAAACTCCCAAGCATGACCCACGCTCTTTGAACAAGGCAGAATTATTTTCCACCCCTAATCTCAATGTGAAGAAGTGCTAAAATTGGGAGCCACCTAGTTAAATTATTGTCATGCCTGTTTGCACCAAGCAAGCAAATGTACTTTTTCAGGCATCTGAGTTTAATATTGTGAACCCCACCTAATGCCACATTCCCGGGGGGCCAGCTCCACTTGTACCTATTAAGCACAATGAAAATGCAGTCTCTACCTTTTGAAGTCCTGAAAAACTGCTGGGAGAAGGGAAAGTGAAAAATGGGAGGGATCGCTTTGCATGTGCTCTGATATAACCCCTTTCCTGAGCATCCGCTATCGACCACTTGTGTGGACAGAGTCTTTATCGATTTGGTTTGACCCAACGGGCTGATGAACAACCTTCAGCTCCACTCTGGGCAGTGGGAACTGGAGACAGCCAGCAATATAAAACATGGCAACAAAACTGGTGAGGGGTCTGGAGAACAAGTCTTATGAGGAGCGGCTGAGGGAACTGGGGTTGTTTAGCCTGGAGAAAAGGAGGCTGAGGGGAGACCTCATCGCTCTCTACAACCACCTGAAAGGAGGTTGTAGCGAGGTGGGGTCGGTCTCTTCTCCCAAGTAACAAGCAATAGGACGAGAGGAAATGGCCTCAAGTTGCACCAGGGGAGGTTTAGATTGGACGTGAGGAAAAATTTCTGTACTGAAAGAGTGGTTAAACATTGGAACAGGCTGCCCAGGGAAGTGGTTGAGTCCCCATCCCTGGAAGTATTTAAAAGACGTGTAGATGAGGCGCTTAGGGACATGGTTTAGTGGGCATGGTGGTGTTGGGTCGACGGTTGGACTCGATGATCTTAGAGGTCTTTTCCAACCTTAATGCTTCTATGATTCTATGATTCTATGGTGAAACGTTCACCACCCAAGTCATCGCTCACCAGGACTTCTGAGAGATACTAACCTGTGGGTGCCACAGGGACGTAAGGCTACACCCAGGGACACACACATGAAGAAATACTATGCACAAGGAGTCCCCAGCCATTTTATGGTAGACTCCACCCTTGGCAGTTGCTTGCTAGGTTTCACCTAGGATATCAACAAAGTCATCGTGCTTACATGGAGCTGAGGATCCAGCCCTTAGTTTGGCTGCTTTTTTTTTCCTCAGAGGCTTGTGCTACAGCACTGTCATAAGTATCTTTACCCAGCTCATAAAAAATATAATATTCAGATCTTTTTCTCATTAACTTCCTTACCCTCACATCCCATAACTCAGTTAAAAAGGAAAAAAACAACAAATGAATGCAGTAAGTCATGCACAGATACATTACAAATCCACTTATATTAATATTTATTTCTTAGCTCCTTTGATCCAAGACTCTCAAAGCATTTCAGAGTGTTCAGCACTGTCATCCTCGCTGCATAGCTGGGCAAATTCATGCACAGGGTGAGTAACTTGATCAAGGTGTCAGCAAGAGAAGAGCCAGGTTGCTCAGTCCCTGCTCAGCAGAAAGCCCTTCTGACACCTCAGCAGCTGCATAAAAATTGCTCTCGATCAAGAAAACAAGAATTGTAATGCTGGGGTTTTTTTTAAATCTCTAATTTTGAATAGCTGTAAAAGCAACCTGCTTCATACGTTCTGTTACCACACAGCTGAGATAAAAAGGCAGTCTGCTCTCCCCAAGGAAAATTAATACTGTACTACCACTAAGACAACTCCTGTGCTTTGCCTGCCTAGTGCACAGAGTGCTCGTCCCCTCAAAATGGTCTTTCTAAACACATTGAAGTGCAGTTCTTAATACTGGTGAAAAAACCCAAGTCTAAGTCTAAAAAAACATGGGCTAAGCTGGTAAGCTCAGAAAGGTCTGGGGGTTAAAAAATAACATCACTTAGTAAGAGTGCTGACCTATTTCCTTCCCTGACTTTAATGAATTTGATATAAAACCCATGGAAGTTGGTTACACTCCTTTCGCTGATGCAATCACCTTCGGATCAGCCCAAGAAGCAGCAGATGTATTGGGGATTTCAGGGCAAATTGGGGTGATTCATGCATTTACCAGCTCGGGCGGACTGGCTTATAAGTTGCATAACCTGCCTCATGCCTGGACTGATGCAGTTTATTTTCCAACACACATGACAGAGTACTGGAGAAGTGAAAATACCTCCAGTCACTTTACAGTATCAACATGGTCCAACTCTTCCTCCTCAACGCAGCTGCTGGGTGCTAGTGTCCTTCCAAACGCTCTGGGGCAGACCCTCAGGACCTCACAAGCTACGGGTCAGTGACAACCGAACAACAGTGCAAGAGGAAGAAAGACCACAATGGGTGCATGCACAGATCAACACAATTCATGAAGAGGGTCTTTAGGAGGAGCTTCCAAATGCAAAGAGCAAGAAGGTTGCACCACAGGGGAGCTGCAGCACTTGGGGGGGAACAAAGACTCGGGAGGAAGGTGAGAGAAGCTGGCACAAGCAATATGGGGATCCCATCAAACAGCGAGACCGATTTCAAAGTAGCCTGAAAGCTCCCAGCCATGCTCAGAGCTTGGGACCCCCTATCTTACCGCTAAAATGGTCGTGGGCTTCAGGGCCTGGTTGACATTGCGGAGTAGTGTCCATTTGCCCTGGTCTCTGTCCTGATCTTCCACCACCTCAGGGCATGGCTGCATGAAAATTACTTTCTTCCTCTTCAACATTTCCAAAATCTTGCAGTGGTATTTGTTCCTCTGTCTGCTTTCTACATTTATTCCACCACGAATGTTAGACAGCTGTGGCCGGTTTGCTTTAGACCTCCAGTGTGACCTTGCCTGCTGCTTGCAGGACACCCTCTGACCCGATTCGCAATATGGTTCTTGGTAAAGATCTTCTCCTAGCAGAAAAAATTCCACGCACCAGCCATGGTCCTCCACTGGCCAGCTAGCACGCTTGCTCCATAGAACTGGTGCTGCAGGAGTCTCAAAGCAAACTGAATAACTTTGCTTCTCTTCACTTAAATTCTTCCAGCCTCTCCAGGAAAGGGTGATACTTGGTTGGAGACTTGAAGGACACTGCAACCGCTCATTCTGGAAAAACTGTTGCAGGATTAATAGGAAAGCTCTTCATTTCCCCGTGACTTCTCTCCATTACCTTCCTTTCTTAGTGTAATAACCGTCTGCCAGCTTGAGGACTTTCAGCACAGAACACACTCGGGTGCTTATTAATCCACAAATGCAGTCAGTCCCCATGCAACACATGGCATTTAATTAACGTAATACCTTTACATACCAAATTAACCAAAGCACAGCGGGAACTCAAAACCAGAGGCCATCTGCATTTTCTTTAAACTGATCGCCTTGAGCAGATCCATAGCAACTGATTTTTAAATAATTGAGTGGAAGGTGTTCAGAGCAGCACAGCCTCTGTGCCTATAGGTGAGAGGAGCACCTGGGCTGTGGATGAAAATGTGCTGAACATGAGGACCACGGAGATAATGAGGTCACACTGACTGCTCTACAGACCCGCTTCTGCAATCTCTCTTTCTATGTAGGGAGGACTGTTCTCGTAAGGACTAATCAGGACTGCTGGCCCAACCAGAAGAGCACAAGACATTTTACAGTCATCCCAGATTTGCTTTTTCCTGTTCTATCTTAGATACACTTGAGATTTCTCATTTTCATCTAGGAAAGGCTTTTCTGCTCATCTAGAGAGTTTAAGACCACTCTAGCTGGGCCCAAGTCTCTTCCATGGGAATTTTGAATCTAACTCAGCATCATTTGTACAGACCAGAGCAATGCATGACTAGGTAGTGGTGCAGCTGCTAAGCTTTCCATGCCATTCTCATTTATCACTATTTTAATGCAAAACTCTACTGATGCCTTGATTCCACAGGGTTTTGAATCAATTTGTCCATGATGCAGAGGACGTATTCTTGGTGGAAAGTTATCTAGAAGAACAAAGGCTTCATAGGTCCCCTTGATGGGACACAGTCACCAAGGACAACCATAGATGACAGGTACATCAAACTCATACCGAGATACTTCTGTTCATCAGTGAACAGCAGT